ACAATTAGGTTTGGTCAGCTGGGGAAAGGGGAAAAGGAAAACAAGGAAAAACTTGAGAAAGGCAAGTTCTAGAAAGGATTACAGTGCAATCTCCTGGAAAATATATTAAAACTCAATACCATATTAAAACTGACCAAAAATATTAAACTGTTCTCTGTTCAACCACATCCCTCCAAAGCTCTTGGCCAAACTCTCCATGCTAGAAACAAATCACTGTTAGATAACCTTTTCTGAACAAGTCTATCACTTATTCTAGTTTATGTTCTGTTTCCTTTGACGACACAGCTATTTAAGTTGCCCTTATCCAGAGCCTCTGGTAATTTTTCTTTTCTGTTCTACAGCAATTCTTCAAAGCATCATAAAGGCAAATTTAATAAACACCTCAATTTGTATTGCTTCCTATTTATAACACTGCAAGCACCTGCTGCTGCTGCGATCTAAGCATGTATCTATCTTACTCTGTATAGATTAATTCAGATTAATCTTTGTAATTTCATGTTTTAGAGCAATTCCAAGAAACACTGCTCCAAGCTTCTGGGTGGCTTGGCTGTGGGTTTTTTTCTCTTTGGGCTGCGGTGGGGATTTTAGTCTTTAGTGTGGGGGTTTGTCTTGGTATTGCGGTACAGTTGGTTCTCTCTTCAGCTCCATTTTTATTAACATGCTGCTGACCAGCTCATAAAAATACAACTCATTTTGCTTCACTGTTTACATCAGACACAATCAATATGTGTATTAATAGATATTATATATACATATGTATAATTTTACTGGAGTATTCAGTTGATCCCTCTTGTCAATGCAACAGCAGGCACTCGACAATCAAACCAAGTTGTTCCCCAAACACCGAACAGTGGAAGCCAGTCCAGAGGAGGCCACAAAGTTGGTAAGAGGACTGGAGCACCCCCTCCATGAGGACAGGCTGAGGAACTTGGCGCTGTTCAGCCTGGAGAAGACAACACTGCACAGAGACCTCATAGCAACTTTTCAGTATTTGAAGGGGCCTACAAGGGAGACAGAGAGGGACTCTTTGTTAGGAACTGCAATGACAGAACAAGAAGCAATGGATTCAAACTGAAGGAGGGGAAGTTTAGGTTAGACATCAGAAAAAGGTTTGTTACTGTAAAGGTGGTGAGATGCCGGAATATGTTGCCCAGGGACGTGGTGGCTGCCCTGACCCTGGTGATGTTCAAGACCAGGCTGGATGAGGCCTTGAACAACCTGATCTAGTGAGGAGGTGTCTCTGCCCGTGGCAGGGGGTTGGGACTAGATGATCTGTAAGGTCCATTCCAACCCTTAAATTCGATGATTCTATGAAGTCACGTCAGTACTGGGGCCCATGGATGGCTTTGGTAATGGTGTGTGTGCCCCTGCATGGGAATGGGTGTTTAAAGGTGGCTGCCCATGATCCAGTAGACACAGGGTTTGGATCACATATTATTTGACCTTCTCTCAAAACAGAGATATGTTAGTTTTTAACCTTATCAAAGTGCTCATGAACACCAAGTGACAGCTAAGGCTGCACAGTACAGAAGTTAAGTCCTATGTCTGACCTTTCAGAGGGGCTGAGGATTCATGTCCTTAGGCGTCTCTTCAGAGTCTGTCTTCCACAGCTTACAGACAGAATATTAACAGCTGCACCCTGGGCTGTGAACACCCTGGTATCTACAACATCCACACCAACCACTCTCACTGTGATGTCATTTAACAAGATGACAGAAAATTTAATGCAAGGGGAGGGGGGGAGAGAAAAAACCCCTATGATGCAGTGCCAAGTAGGTGAGTCAGATAGTGAAGCCCAGACAGGAAGCTCAGGAAAGCCCCCTCAGTGCACAAGAAAAGAAGCAAAACAAAAAGACAAAGCAGTGCATGGAAGAAAAGCCACATGGAAGTGAAATAAAGACTGAAAAAAGTGGATGGAAGAGTCCATCCATCAGAGAAGACAGACATCAATGATCGGTCTCACTCCTGCCCTCCATTTCTTTGCCTTTAGCGGCTAACAGCCAAGGTTTGTACTTCTTATCCACCCTACCTACATATTTAGTTGTGATATAGCACACTCCTCCACAACCAGCCAGGAAATCTCATGGATGACTTCATGGGACACTTTGTGGACAATTTAATCTCAAGAGTGACTCTTGATGCCTTAAAATCCAGAGGGGCTATGCTATGTGCCTTCCTGCAGTATTTGACACAGGCTTTATAGGGGTAGGATTTGAAGAATTCCCATTAAAAACATGCATCTTTCTCAACAAAACAAAGTCTCACTGCTGGTTTGATTCACCCCAATCATGCCAAGATTGCTGTTAATTTTATGAGAAAAACATGCTTGTAAATGTGTAAGACAGTTTTCAAAATTATTTTTATCTGCATTTGTTGGGAAATCAAGCAAATGAGAAAGATCAGAGACAAAGGAAAACATCGTTGTAAGGCACTCAGCATAATGCCCTCCTCTTACTTATCAACAAAAGTTCAATACAGCTATTATTTTGAGAATCCGTAGATTTTTAATTTTCTATTAACGTGAGTGAGATGACAATACAGATTTCCTCAGAAAATAAACGAGGCACAGGAAGACCTTGCATGTCATTTATACAGAGAAGAATGCCATACATCTTTCAGTCTCTGGCTGTAGCTTCCAAATTACTGTCCCTAACATCTGTAACCTTCATGTGTTCTCATCCTCTTCCACAATTACTTCTTGTCATGTGGGGAGGTTCTGAACTTTCGCAACAGCTATATTGAGTAAATCAGCCATAAACAGACATGCTATCGATACTCCAAGCCGATAGCTAATCATGATTTCTAGTCTTTCAAGCAAATAGGACAACTTAAAATGGCAAACATTGCTCTATCTACCCATCCATAAATTAGGAGTGACAATAGCAGATTATTACTCATTCACTCAAAGTATCTGTTTGGCCCTGAGAGAACTGGCTTTATTCCAAGAGCTGGCAAACATTGGTTAATATACATGTAAATGTTTTATTTCTCTCGGAGTAGGCAATTTCACAAAATGAAATACCAAATTAAAGACGACCCTAGTTTTTCTGCTGATGCCTGTCTCAGATGCAGTGCTGCTGAAAGCCTTTGCAAGCTTTTTCACACCAAGTCAACAGGGAAAAAGCCACCTTTTCTTTTCAAAGTGAGACAATTTTGCTGTGGAAACATGAAAGCTTTTATATAAATATTAATCACCACAGTTGTCCTGGAGTTAAGTGGATGGAGACTGACTTATATAAGGTTGCAGTATAGCTAATAGTGAGATGCACTGAAAAGGTTTAGCAAACACTGCTCCAAACAGGCTGTTCCTCAATACAAGAGCTGAAGTGCCAGAAGTAGATTAGCAACCCCAATTTAATCTGATGGTACTATAAAATAGCACTTGACTCCCAAGAATGAATAAGGAGCATTTTGTCCTTTGAATTTCTGGTGCAAGTGTTAAGGAAAATGTTCTTTTCCTCAAAAACTGGCACTAATTCGAACTGGGAGGAAGAGAGTAGACCAAGAAAAGGGATGGAGGTTCAACACAGAGAAGCAAATAAACTAAATATCCAGACAGAAAACCAAGCAGAGCCTCTTACTAACCAGTCTAAAACCTGAATATTCCAAATAAAGCCAAGTATAATGCGGCCACATTCCTGAGCATGGGCTCTCCAAAACCCAAGACAATCAACAAGCGTATTCTGTGCATTTCAAGGTGACGATAATGCACACCAACTCCAGCAAGACTCTGAGAACCATCTACTTTTTTGAAGAGGGCTAGAGCTATCAGAATTGATTACTCCTCCTATGACACAGACCATTAGCCATTGCTTACCCCTCCATCCAACAGAGAAATTAACCAAGACTTGAAACTAGAACTACAGCCAGAAAGCAGATTTTTGAAGAGGAAGAGAGAAAGAAGCATAACCTTTCCTCTAGTGTGCTGTACTGTATGTATCACCTCATTTTCCCTGAGGGCATGCTGAAGTTGCAATCAACTGGGGATGCTAACAACAGGTCAAAATTGTTCATAAACCTCTGGACAGAAATGACACAATATTAATGTATTTCACAACAGCAAGTTTAGAATGAAAAACAAAATAAGGTAGAAAGCATGGCTAAGATCACAGTAACTTGAGGGAACTCATGAGCAAAAAGCATGCAACACTTAAAAAAACCCCTAACCATCATGTCAGCTGCAGCCAAAATTCACCTCCTTTAAGTAACAGGAAAGGCAGAAGATGAACACTGATGGGAAACAACAACTACCAACAGACCACACCTTCAAAAGAAACGTGACTATGTTCATGCGGCAAGAGCTGACGAAAAGTTCAGTTCCCATCTGGCAACTGCCTCCCTTGATATTGCAGAGCTCCACAGGTTTCAGGCAGGTTTCTCCATGGACATGAACATCTATGGATATAGAATGGACACCAGATCTGCACTTTATGGAGACACATACATCAAATACTGCTGGCATTAGAATTGCTCTTCCTCACATTCTGCATTTTAACAGGAAAATAATTTAGACTTTACAGGCTATTACATTAACTAAAGCTACTTTTGAAATATTGTTCATATTAACTTCCTAGAACTATATGGGTTATTTTTCACCCTGCAGAAACCTTCCGCTGGAGCATACACACTGACTAGCACTTGACATTGCTTTGAACCTTGAACCTAATGCTGCACTTTTCCATGCTGCTCTCACGCAGAGCACTCCCCCTCCTCTTGTATGCTTCTGCTTACATGACACTTGGAGATCTCACAAGGAAATCTGCTGAAACAAAGGGCAACACAACAGAACAAGGCAGTGCCAGGTTCAGCTCCGAAGAGGATTTTAAAATTTATTCCAGGGTCTCACTCTGACACTCAGTGTTATACGTGGCTGAAATGCATACGTGGGCCTGGCAGAACTGCAAGGGAAGGAGATGCTATAAAAGGCGACAGCACCATTACCAGCTAAGCTACCAGTTAGACATCACTGATTACCACACTGGACAGAGATTTTAACTCACCTAGAGAGCAGACAGCTAATAGGATTTCTTAAGTGGCTTCTCTCAGTTTCACTGGGGCTGATGCATACTGCATATAGGATTTGAAAAGAGATTTTCCCCTGAATAGCACATACAACTCTACCATAGAACTCTGTTATCATCTTGGCTTATGCTTATATAAAATACCAGATGGAAGTTACCTGAACAGTCATTAAGAGGTTAATCATTAAACTCAAGCTATGCCAAGGGCAGCAGCAAAGCTAGCCTCTTGAATAAATTGAGCTCGGATAAAGGTAACATTGATTTTTCTAAAGAGGTTTCATTACTTAACTCTAGATTTGTGATTTCTTTTGAGAGTAGGAAGTTAAGAGCTAATCCAAATTTACTAATTTCTTTCTAGCCAAACAGAAACCAACCCATTTAAAATGCAGACAATATGATCGACCGATCTCCCTACCGATCTCCCTTTCATTGTTGTGTCTCCACCCCTCCCCCAGACAAACCAAACTTCACAGGACTTCAAACCTCAAGGAGGAGGGGAAGAATCCACAAAAAAAAAAAAAAACTAAAATCCAGCACTGAAAATCCAATGTGTATTTTCTATCAACTACTTTTATCTCTGTATTGTTCTTAATGCTTTCCTAGAAAGGAGTTTTTTAGCACACAAGTGCAAAACTTTAATTCGATGAAGGGACACAAACTGTTTGGAGTCTAGAGTCAGTGAAAAAGCATGAGGTAAACATTTGGATACGTTAAATGATCCCGAATCTTTCTGCCATATTTTCTCCTTTCCAACTCTGATTTTCATTTTTTAAAAGGTATCAGAATCAACCAGCTGACTATTACAAGCTATACCATTGATAAGGATCGCCCACAGAAACAAAGTGATACGAGTTCTCCATTTCCCACAGGTACTCTGAAATATTTACTCCACCATGGCAATTATGCCCTTGACAAATGTAGTGTGCTAAAGACTTGGGGGTTTCCTAACTTTCTGAAATTACTGTTTTAATTCACTCGCATCTCTGAGAATGTGAAACTGACTTAGGTAACACCTAAGAAAAAGCAAAGAAGATGGGATAGACTAAGTTAATCAGAAAAAAAAAAACCAAAAAATTGCCAAAACCGATAAACCACCCCAAACTCCACATTTTTTTACAAGAAAAGGGATACAATTACTCTATTTTAAAGCCTTGTGCCTCTTTCACAGTTGAGCAAAGTTTTCTCAAAGCAGGCATCATTGATTGCACTCATTTGGAATTTTTATATAAAACAATGTTGAAATAAGAAATGGAAAGCCAAAAAAGCCTCTTAAATCATGGGATAGATACATCTCAAAACCTTGTACGTATCTCTCTGGGGAGCAGGAACAACAACAAAAAAAACTGGACATGAAAAAGAAGTAACAGTAGGCAAGAATGTGGAACATGAAAGGCTTTTTGCTTAAGGTCCCTAATGTCTTAGGAATTCATTAAAAGACAATGTTACAGCACCTGAATTTTAGAGAACTACTTCAGAGATGGCTCCTGTTGCAGCAGTTTCTGCTCGAATATTTCACTCTGGCTGTCAGCCAAATCTTTGCTATGCTGATGCCAAATAAATGATACCCAATTTCAACGACAGATGCTTTTGTGTTGACACATAATTGATACGTTTATGTTCACGGTTCCCTGGAATTCTGAAACAGCAACACTTTATTCACAAGAAATACAAGTGACAGCAGAATTCAGAGGGACTTGCACGTAGCTGATGCCACTACACTGCTGGTATTGTGAGACTGGAGGGAAGAGATCGCTAAGTACCCAGGGTGGTCAGCAACAGTGGAGACCACAAATTTTCCAGGGCAAGGGAGAATATGGAGAAATGGCCCAGCAGTGAAAGTTAACTTGCTCAGCCAGAAACCAACTTGCTCAGAGAAACAGGAAACCTGAAAGTTTTCAACACAAGTCGCATATCCTTTTCCTGCAGAGCTTCTAACTGCGTAGGAGATGGAAGTCATAGAAACGACACAGCACTGAAGTAACAGATATGTCCATAAACTCCTTTTCTCTTTGATTTCCTTGGTTTCCTAGGTAGGAAACAGATTAGCAACCTTTTAAAATGTATTTACCAAAGGTATGTTCCAAAGAAAATATTATATACCCCATTCCTTGCATGTTCACCCTCCTGTAGACAACTTGAAATAAACTTTCATAAATGGTATTTATTTTGGAAAGCAACTATATCCTTCCTCAAGCTTTAGAGACTTTTGGCATTTACTGTAATTCTTACAGGAGTAAGACCACTGATGACATTACAATATATGCCTACAACCTGATTTTTTTTTTTTGTTTGTTTTGGTAACACAACATCGTATCATTTTCACACAATGAGTATAAACATTCATGGGTTGAAAATATTCAGCAAAAGGTTTGCACCCAATCATTTCACGAGAAAAAAAAAAAAACAGGAACAAATAAAACTCAGCACAAAATACAGCAGCAAATGAAGACCACGTAGCAAAGTTTTCAGACATTTATCCAGATAGTATATGCTGTTCAGCAAACATGCAATGAGGAATATTCTGCTATGATGCCTCTTTCTAAACAAAGTAAGGTTAAGCTTAAGAATACTTTTGAATTGCACTATATGAGGATTATCAAATACACTTGAAGCGTGCAGGTGAACAGGACTCTCTAACTGGAAGTCTTTACAACCCCTGGAAAACATATTTTGTTGACTGTTTATTAAACTGTACTTTAGAACACTGATCACGGCCCAGAAAGCTTCTGCAGTCTAACACTCTGCTGCTGCTGCTGGTGCTCACCGTCTGTGCTTCTCTACCAGTACCATGGGAAAGATTTCTTCCTTCAGTCACCTCTTTCCTTCTATTATATGAAAAAGGGACTAATGTTAATTCTTCAGACTCTGCACACTTCAGCTTTTTCCTTTAATTCTTCTTCTCCTGTGCTTCTAAGGGTTGCTAAGGGCAAAACTGTCAGAAGACCTCTCTTCACACTAAATTTCTCCTTCAGGAGTGCCCAGCACAGAAAATAAAGTTATACAGGGGAAAAACGTGCATTTATCATCAAAGCTCCCATCTTTCAAAACGCCAAAACTGTCATTTAGTTCAGCAACATGGGATATGTAAATATTCTGGTTTATACTCTTCCAAAAGCACAAAGTGGTTGAAAAGGTCAAGGAAGTGTATTAAGTAGAAAAGCTTTAGGGGCCAGTGGGTTCTTTTCATTGTTCTGGGAGGCACTGGGGGAAAAAAAAATCCAAAAAGAATCTTTGCCAAAACACATCCAGAAATTAAAAGTTTAAGTACCAAGTGCACAGGTACCTTCTTCTAGAAACCCTCAAAACACCCCAAAAAAACCCACCCCACAGAAACCACAAGTGCTCCTCAAGCCCCATAAAAGTTTTTGAGTCACAAAGGACAGCGGAGACTAAGCTCCCACTGGCAGTTGGACATCTGAGGAACATATACAGAGATTCACATAATGGCTTAGGTTGGAAGGAACCTTAAGGATCACCTAGCTCCAAAGAGAATATCAAACAAACAGCTAAGCCAGCTGTCAACAGCTTTGATTTACCAGAAACCAGGGGCTTGACAAGGTGGTACACCACAGGCAGATCCCATCTTCCTCACTCCTGTTCAGAGAGGATCAGATGCAAATCAGCCCCAGTTCAAAAGCTTCAGTGATTAGTTAGAGTGGTGCTGAGCCTAAGCTAAAAAAGGCCAGTCTCTCAGCACTGCATTTTACATTGAGCATAGCACTGAAACAACAAAGCTCGAAGGCTTATAGAGAAGATCCTACTACTGTCTCATTATTTGAGAGTGTGGGCAGAGAAGTGTAGGTCAGTCTGCGAGGCATTGTATAGCTACACTCTGTCTGTGTTAGGAGGGGCATAATTAGTCCAGGAGGAGATTAATGTTAAGATATACAGACCAGCTTGAATATTTCTACTTGTTACTGAATTTGCACCTAAGATTTATTCCTACAGATTTCTTTGAGTGTTTGGAACTCCCCTGGCTACTCCCTTAAGCACATGCTAAATTGAACACCTTTTTTTAAAAAAAAACCCATCATATTCAATAGAATTAACCCATCCTGTTACTAAGAAAGGTAAGGATTTGAGAAGTTAAATCGATTCTCACTCCTACTATTGGCTTCTGTATTTTGTTCCATTTTGACACAACTGAAATATCTCACTTTCTCTCACTCAGGAAAGCAGTGCTATATCTGGGAGACATGGAAAAAAAACAAACATAAAATGATCGTATACAAATATTTGTTTCTCTTCCTCAACTTATAATGTAATTTAAAAGAAAAAGTGTTTGCTGGAGATTACTGGACAATGAGTTTAACATGCTAAATAAATTATCAAAAGAAAGAACTAAGTCACCTCCAACTTTTAGAAATGAAAGAGACTTAGCGATAGTTCAGGCAATCAGATTTCAGATCAAATCTTACTTTTACAGACACTGTTTCCTGTACTGTTAAATATTTGTTTTACAACTGTGGGAAAGACTTAAACAATGGAGGGAAACTGCTTGCTCTGCATACTGAAATAATAATTCAGCAGCAAGAACCAACATCAAGACTTTTGAATAATAGTATCAAGCCCAAACATTTAGGCAGAAAAACTGACATGCAGCCCTTTCCTCCATGCCAAAGTACTTTATCATTAGTAACTCCAAGTCTTCAAACACACTTCATAGATTATAACAGTATAACTACAAGCTTCTCCTTTAAGACATCAATTCAGTAAACTTGAGTTTTTCTGCTGCTATGAAGGATTGACAACTAAACGCCTCAAGCCACTTACTGTATGTTCTCCTACCCAAAGCAGGCTGCACTATGATGGTGGGTTGATGGTCAGACACAGCATAGCAAGGGTACTGGTTTCTAAGCAGACCTAAGTTTCCAAAAACAGCCAACCACAGATGAACTTCCTGAGCCTTTTTGTGTCACAACTGCAGGCTCAGAGCCGTATGTTTCACTGGCACCAGTAAGGTATAATAAAAGGCTCTGGGACCTTGAATCTTATTTGTATTACAACAGTCATGTACCTAAGCTGTGTT